CCCCCATCCATCACCCCATATCTGCCCCATATCTGCCCCATATCTACCCCATATCTGCCCCATTTCCATCTGCCCCCATCCATCACCCCATATCTGCCCCATATCTGCCCCATATCCATCGATCTGCCCCCATCCATCACCCCATATCTGCCCTCACATCTGTCCCAAAAGACCCCAAATCCCCCAGTTCTGCTGCAGTGGCTACAGTGACGCAGCACATACTGCGATGACGCAGCATTTATTACGACTCAGAATATATCGCGATGGCACAGCAGCTATCGCAGCGATGCGTCTGTCGCAATGACACCACATCCATCAGCATGACGCAGTGTCTGTCACGATGACACAGCATTTATTCAAGTGACACAGCAGCTGTCATGACACTGCATTTATCACGATGACGCAGCATTTATTGCAATGACACAGCGTTTATCACAATGACGCAGCATTTATCACGATGTCACAGCATCTGATGTGATGACAATGCATTTATCACAATGACGCAGCATCTGCCACGATGACATGGCAGCTATCGTGACACTGCAGCATCTGTCGCCAACACACCGCATCTATCACGATTCACACCTATCATGAAGACATTGCATCTATCATGACACTGCAGCACCTATCACAATGACGGTGCATCTATATTGACACTGCAACAGCTATCACGATGACACAACATCTATCGTGACACTGCAGCACTATCACAACACAGCATCTACCCTGACACTGCTGCACCTATCGCGACGACAGTGCATTTATCGTGATGCTGCTGCACCTATTGTGATGACACAGCGTTTATCGTGACACTGCAGCACCTATCGCGATGACACTGCATCTATCATGACAGTGCTGCACATATCATGATGACACTGCATCCATCGTGACACTGCAGCACCTATTGTGATGGCACAGCATCTATCGTGACACTGCTGCACATATCATGATGACACTGCATCTATTGTGACACTGCTGCACCTATCGCGATTACACAGCATCTATCGTGACACTGCTGCATATATCACGATGACACTGCATCTATCATGACACTACAGCATCTATCGTGACGACACTGCATCTACCGTGACACTGCTGCACCTATTGCGATGACAGTGCATCTATCATGACACTGCAACATCTATCGCAATGACACTGCATCTACTGTGACGCTGCAGCACCTATCGCGACGACACAGCGTCCATCGTGACACTGCTGCACCTATCGCGATGACAGTGCATCTATCATGACACTGCAGCAGCACCTATCGCGACAACACTGCATCTATCGCGACAGCACTGCATCTATCGCGACACTGCTGCACCTATCGCGATGACAGTGCATCTATCATGACGCTGCAGCACCTATCGCGACGACACTGCGTCTATCGCGACACCGCAGCACCTATCGCGGCGCCGCGGCGTCCCCCTCAGCCTCGCGCTTCTCCCGCTTGGACCCCCCCATGCACGGGGGCGGCTGGGGCAGCCGGGGGTCCTCCTCCCACTGCTGGGGGGTGCGGGCGACGATGCTGAGCGCGTGCAGCGGCCCCTGCAGCTCGGAGCACAGCACGGCGTGCACCAGGCGGTGCCGTTGAATGGGGCTGAGTCCCTCGAAGCGTCCGCTGACCACCAGGAGCCCGAAGTGCGTCTCGGCGCCGGGGGGGCCGCCGTGGCGGGGGGAGTGGTCCTCCAGGTGGAGGTGGGTGGGCTGCAGGGCTGCCGTCAGCTTGGAGAGGATGGCGCGGGCGATGGGGCCGGACGGCAGCGCTGAGAGGGGCGGGGGCGGCATCGGGGCTGAGAAGGGAGGGGGGGTCAGAAAGGGATGGGGGTGGGGGGGGGTGGGGGGTTGGGAGCTGGGAAAGGGGTCGGGAGGGTGGGGTTCTTCTGAGGGATTGGATGCTATAAATGGGGTATGGGGGGTTATGGGGTTGGGAGGTTCAGGAGGGGCTGCAGGATCAGAGCTTGTTTATAGGGTGGGGTATGCAGTTATATAGAGAGGGTTTATGGGGTGGGGAGGTTTTGGGGGGATTCTGAGGGACCAGACCCTATAAATGGGAGTATGGGGTGTGTGGGGTGGGGAGGTTCAGGAGGGGCTGCAGGATCAGACCTCGTTTATAGGGGTGGGGGTATACAGTTGTATAGAGAGGGTTTATGGGGTGGTATGGAGGGTTTTGTTGGGGTTCTGAGACAACAAACCCTATAAATGG